CTGCTCAATAAGGGTTGTATTAATTTGTTTCTTTAGTTAGCACAAGAGTCATGCTAGTTAGGTACATAGCTTAAGAATCGGTGAACATTTTCTTCGCAAGTCAGATCTATGTTCAGTTTTCTTGGTAAATTACTTTTTACTCCATCGTGGTTTAATGCAAACCTCTCCTGCTATTTCATGATTTATGTTTTAGCTAAAGCTGGCAAAATGGGCCGGATGGGCGAGACTTGCTTGGGGTTGAAATAAAACTGAATCATATGGATTTGGGTCTAACCTTACTCATATGTGCTTTGGAACTAAATTGGGCGGGTTCACTTTGGAATGGTTTTACATTGATCCCGTCCAATGCCCAAATCTATTTTCTATATTTTTTCCTTTAATTCGATTTTATTTTTTTATATAACTTTAATATTTTTGTTATTAAATTTCTTTTGATCTTATTGTGAATTTATATTTTCCTAAATTTATTTTACATTCTAGAATGATCAATAATTACTTCAAAAGGACATAACATTTTGGTAAGAATGAACATATCTTCTCCCTGTACTAAACCAAAGATTGAATGTTTTGGTGTATTCATACATGAAGTTGAAGTTTTCACTTCCTCAAAAGCATGTAAATAGCTAACAAGAAATAAACATGCAAGTGCCTTATACTCAAGATTCCCACCAAAAATTGAATTAACAAATAAAGAAAAAGATAGATATACAGCCATATTCCGACAGATATCAAGATAGCCAGGCACCGAGGCTGCTGAATATTTATCCTTATCACCGTCCAAGAATGGCAAGTCTAAATTGACTGAAATGCTGGAAATTCTTGGATAAATGAAACTTTTTGGGAAGATATTTGGGCCCAATGGGTACCCAAGTATTTCCCAACATATCCCATCAATTGATGGATATAATTGGGATATATCCCATTTTAAATCCAATATCAAATTATAATACCTATTCCACCCAAAGTTCCCTTGGGCATGGGTAGTGCTTTGGAACTTGGGATAAATTGTCACCTCTAGTTTTAGTTCAGTGGAATGGTAACTTTTATGTTAAGGGACAACGGTTAAAAAAGTCGAGTGCATTTAAATTGGTTACTTTTAAGATATTTCTTTGGTATGATAATACATTTTTTAAACTATCTTGTTATTCATACATACGTCAACCGAAGAAAAGTAAGTAATATAGCACTATTAATATATGTACGTGTCTGTACATGCATAGATTTTGTTAGGATGCCTTCCTACAGAGAGCGTCACTTCACATGTTTGGGAGGTAATGGGACATGATCTTATTGGTGAAGACAGATAACAAGAAACTCTAATTGTCGATAAGTTACCATTTTCTTGAAGACTGACGAGTGGTGACAGCATCCCTTGAACCTCCAGGTTGGTTAAGATTTAATTAACTTCACTGAAAACAAGCTCAAGAGACATTTCCAACAGCAACCTAAAACTTTTCTTTCTCTTTCCCTCTTTTTGTTCTTCAATAAGCAACAGAAAATGTTTATCTGAACTCAGTTAATCAAGGCAAATGGTAGCATCTACAGAGAACGTAAGTTATTTATTTAAACTTTACTGTGTTTATCCCACACTGGTTGTGGAAGAAGCAGGGTAATTGGCTATAAGTGTGAGGGAAATCCTTATCCCTTGAACTAATTTGCGGGATGGGAAGACCCAATATCACCCAACACTGGTATTAGAATCAGATTATGACAACTTCTTGTAGCAGTCAAACATAATAGAATGAACTCCTTGTAGCAGTCACACGTACTAGAATGAAATGATGCCCATGGGATGAAATCCTGTGTGAGGGGGGGGGGGGGATATTGAATTTATCCACATATCCTTCCAGTAGTCACACATATTCGGGTGAAATATTTGCCCGTCAGAATGAAAAGGAAAGGGTTGGAGCAATTCCAACCTAGATTCCAATATGGTGAGAGGAAGCATCATGCGATAAAAAGGCAGCTTGCGTCTATCGCGGGATTAGCTGCATTTTATATGTTTCGGATCTAATTCACTTACTTTTGAAGCGCATATATAAGTAAGTGTTCATTTTCAAAATTTACATTGGTAAAGTAAAGATATTTTTGGTATTCAATATGTTTATGAGTTTATATCCCACATAGTTGAACTCAAGTGAAACGTTGCTTGTTGTGTGATGTGTAAGAAGGAAATTATTGATTCTTCCCCGGCCACATCGATATGGAAAGGGCACTTGGCCTGTTTACATCACTTGTTGCCAAGTGCGAGCATTGGCTGTGGACAGGGTTAGGGGATGCGACTTTGTTTGAGTTTATTTGACGAGTTCGAATAATCCTTTTGCCGGACACTGTTGTCATGAAATTTGAAGTCGACAGAAAAAGACAAGTCGAGATTTATCAAGATTTATACAATCAGACATATATATGTGGACAAAATCTTAAAAGATGGAAGATTTACATGTCGACGTTCCCGCGCAAGGCAATGTTTCAATTCACTCGGGTATGGTACAATTCAGTTCTGACGAAAGGTAGCTATTCCGAGGTGAAAGTGAAACTTAAGGGCCACAGAGAAAGACAAGTCAATATATTAGAGAAGTAAAGCATTATCCCCAAACAATAATCTGGTGCTTGTGGCCCATTTAAAATTTAGGTGCGATATTTATGAAATTAAGTTGTAGAATACCGAGTTAATTAAGTTTAATAAAATTTACAAAAAGTTGACTTGACGTTAATTCAATAATTGTATCTTTCAGCGCCTGCTTTGGCGTTCTTCAAATTTCCCCCTGTCATCGATCGACACAAGAAACCCACATTTGCCTAAAGAAATGAAATTTATAATCCAATTTGTAGCAATTAACATTCCAATCTATTAAATAAAATGTAGATTTTGTTTACATAAAAAAAAGGGTTTTACTTTTTCTTTTCCTTTGATGTACCAAAGGCTCGTTAGCAATTGAGTTTTCACTATACTTATGTCTGATTATGTAATCAAACACACACACACACACACATATATATATATATATTCATAAAATAATTCATATTTGGAACCAATTAATATGGTGATTCACTTGTTCGTAGGGTTAATTACTACAACCACCCTTGGCGTCTGATATAAGTTCAAAGATGTGCTCCTGCATATTAGTTTATCAATTTACAGAAATGATCCCCTCAACAATTAATTTTCTTTTTGAAACAATTTAGAATTGGTGCGTTGGGAGAGAAATAGCAGAGAGGGAAGGTAAACGCCGAACCATAGAACAAGAAAACAAATGCCCTTATTCATTGGGTGTTATCCAATGTTCTACTTCTCCTCAACCCCTCCAACTTTTTTTTTCCTTTTAAACATCCTTGCCCAAAACTATACCTCTCGCCACAGAATTCATTAGGCAATTCTTGAAATACCAAAATTGTTGGAGTTTGGCATAAAGATGTAGCACAGATAGACTTGTAAGTTACAGACGATCCCTTTATCTTTACCCGGCTGAGTAATCAAAACTCACCAATACGAGAAGAAGTTGGTTTTTTTGTTTGCCTACGCTGGAAACCCATGCACACTCCAACCATACGCAGATGATACTTTTGCTTATAAATACTACTATTTCATGACCAGATGAACCAATCCACTAGGCAAACAAAAAAAAAGATATGGCTCTCAAACAAGGCTTCGAGGTGAAGGTAACCTTGACAGAGGTAGTTGCTGCAGTGCTTCCGATGCAAGAACATTGGTTGCCGCTGTCCAACCTCGACTTGCTTTTGCCTCCTGTCGATGTCGGTGTCTTCTTCTGCTACAAGAACCCCTCTTCAGCTGCCACCACATTCGGGTCCATGACCAGCGCTCTTAAGAAAGCACTAGCCCAAACATTGGTTTCCTATTACGCTTTTGCGGGGGAAATGGTGCAAAATCCTTCAGGGGAGCCTGAGCTTCTATGCAATAATCGTGGGGTGGACTTTGTTGAAGCATTTGCTGATATTGAGCTTCGAGAGCTCGACTTGTACAATCCTGATGAGAGCGTCGAAGGTAAACTTGTGCCCCAAAAGGAGCAAGGCGTGCTCTCTGTTCAGGTTAGTAATTTTAACTAAAAAGTTATCATTTCCAAGTCCTAATGACCATAAAAGAAATGCAGAATTTGTAAGATTTCTAACCAAGCACTTCTCGATTGATTCTAAATTCTGTTTAATTTGCTCCATTTAAGTTTGTCACTTTTCACTTTTCCACCGAAAGATTTATGTTTTTGTATTGCAACATAAATTTTATCGGAATTGCACTTATGAAAAGTAACATGATTCGACATCGTGGCCGGCAAATTACCCTGCAAAAACTCATGCATGCTCATATTCGGGAATTTAACTCCTTGCAAGTTCGGGCCATTTCAACCACAAATCATCGCAGATTTCTACCCTCCCTTTTGGTACCGTAAAGATGAGATTAAATTCACCTTTGGATATAAAACAGAAGTTATCAATTTTTAGATTATTTCAAGAGTTTAAATAACTAAATGATATTGTAAGATATAAGTCAATTAGAATCATAGATATAGTACCCAAAAAGGGAACGTAGCATTTTCTTAAATCATAAATTAGGTGAACGGGTTACTTGCTTCTCTGGTGATAATTGTTTTATTAGTGAAATGCTGGCAATAATGAGAGGTATTTTATCTACTGAAATAAAAAAAAAAAAAAACAGAAAAGTATTGAAAAACTACTTACAAGTTGTAATCATCAAATTTCGAAAAGAAAATATTGCATTCGTGTCTATTCTGATATGTTAGATTTTTATAAACTATTTTGATCCGGTTTGAGACGTTGCATGGCAATTTGTAAAATATGTTGAAGTTGAAACCATCTAAGGATGTTAATTAATCATCAATCGCTGTAGTGTTCATCTAACATTGTAGGAGGCCTGATTTAATAAGATATCTAAGGAACCAAAGTTTGATTTACAATTGAAAATTTCAGTTGGACTAATTCTGAAAGAACATAATACTTTAATTGATGAATAAAAAAAAAAGCAGGGATCTGTTTATATGATTCTTGTTCTGCTTGCGCTTCTCAGTATGCTCACATTTCTGGGTACAAAGAGACGCTGCTTTCTTTATTTGGCTGCTGCTTTTTCTATTTCAGTGGGAATATATTTGGGAATTTACCGTACTCAGATTAGGAAAAAATTCAATATTAGGGTAAGTTTCTTGTTCTATATTGTTGATTCAAAAGGTTTGATTATTATTACCATTTCTCTGGACTTACAAGTGATATGACCACATTAGTCAATCTTATCCTTGTGCCTAACGTTCATGTGGGCCACAGTGAGTCATGGCTGACTAAAAGCAAATTATTTTAGTTGTTTAAAATCATTGGGGTTGTCAATGTGGAGCCAAATTTTTTCAAGGCAGGGTGAGAGAAAGTAATCTTAAGAGTAGCTGCCAAACCAAAAATTTATGTGTAAAACAACATAGACAAGAGTTGCATGAGGCAAAGTTTCTCTTTTCACATGTTCAAAAGATTGTAAGAACCCAAGTGCAGTTTTAAAAGGATTTTATCTTCTTGTATTTGAGGATGAGGGGAGGTACGACTGGATAGTTTTAGATAGAACTTTATCAGTTTGGGAAAGTTGGCCATTAGAGAGGAACTTATCCAGGACAATTCTGGGGGAATTTAGTGAATGGCACGAAGGGAGGTAAATGATGTATATTTGATTTTGCCACATTTGTATGGAGGGTTCAAAACTACACTACTTGTTAAAGACTTACTAAGAAGTTATGCTATAATTTCCATAAGGTGTTGTTTCTTACTATTGTGCTTAATCTTTTCACTCCTTTATTTTCTGTGAAAACTTGGAAGCTGACCGGTATTTAATATTAACTGTCTGAATCACAAAGTCTGTTATCTCAAACAAATATGTGATGTTTCCCCAAAGATCATTCAAGACTATGAAATTGAAAAAGAACCAGCTTTCAGGGTAATCCCAGTGTTGCCCTAGCTGAAGCTGCTTCTGATGCACGAATTCTGTCATGCTAATGTGGTGGAATCCCAGAAATCGCGGACTACCTTTTTACTTTACAGAGAAGTTGTTTGCTAGTGTTAGCCAGGGTCTACTATAATGTAATGTATATCCTGCCATTCAAATGTTGTTTTCTAGGTACATTTTTTTACCGGTATTCTCTAGTGTGGTGATCTTTGTTGAACCTTCTAGGTTCATGCTATCAACCAAATATTCCCCTGGAGAGCTTGAAATCCTGCAAGTAGAATGCGACTGGTGGGGTTAGATTAAACATGAATAGACCACCTAATTCAAGGCCTATATTAGTGTCTAGTAGGCATTTTTTTCACCTCTATTTGTGTTTGTCCTTGTTTGTGAAAACATTGACAAACTATTGTCACGTCTTGTCTCTAAACTTTAATTGCCTCAAGTTTCTCTATTAGTATTTCTGGCATACTTTATCAAATTGGTTTGCTAAAAATTTGAGTGACAAGTTAAAAGAAACATGATGTTCGGGACTAGAATAGGATGAGTAATGTGATGGATCTTACGAACAGGACTAGAAGATCAAGTAATATGAAATAATTAGCGATAAAGGAACTAAGGGAGTCTCCCTAGCTCTGCTCTTCCGGGGAGGGGGCAAAAAAAGGAATTGATGTTGTTTATTATATATGGCCTTAAGTAGAGCTACTATGGGTGAACTTTAGGCTGTCTTTGTCCTTCTACTTGATAAATGATATATATTTCCAGTAAAAAAGGCATCTCAGTGAAAGTTCTGCTAACCTTGGCCATGTATGTGTTTTCTTCAGGATAGCGAGAGTTCTTTCGATGATTGTGTATACCATCTCATTTGCCCATGTTGCTCCTTGTGCCAGGTGTGTGCATATAAATATATATATATATATATATACACTTTCATGAATAATAGATGTGCTAGTTGGCTCAAATTGGCTGTGTATCAATTCAAATTAAACATTTGGGTATTATTTTGAAGTTTACTGTAATGTACACTTTGCTATGACTTGGAGCAGGAATCTCGAACACTAGAGATGAATAATGTTCAAGATGGCATCTGGCATGGTAGAGGTGATACAATATGCATAGGAAGCTACTCCGAAGGTGGTGGTAAGGCACTTTTTGAGCGAAATCCACCTCCTGTTATGTCAAGACAGTCTCCAGAGCCCCAGTGTATTTCAAAAGCTACAGATGAGAGCAGTCATGTATGGGCTGCTGAAGTTGGTCAAACTTCTCCCCTGGTTTGACCAGCTGCTGAACAATTGTAACACTCAGAATTAGCTAGCTAGCTCAGACAGAAAATCGAAGCTTCAGATTAATGTCGCACAAAAGCGAGGTGGAAGCATGAGATTCATTGCGCTGCTTGGTCTCGAGCGCAGCCTTCTTGTGGAAGAGTGGTGAAAGATTTTCAGGTGATTGAGTAGGTAGATAAAGATTACATCCGAACTTTCTGAGAGTGGGGGAATTCTTCAAGAAAAAGACCCTCATCTCATGTGTATATATGGTTTCCACGAAAATGTTGTAAAAAGAAAAAATGTATCTTTAATTCATTATTGAATATCATTAGATTTCTGGTCGTTGGTCTCGAAATTGATCAGCTAAATGAAGGGTTCTTTGAATCTATCCTATGCAACTCTGTAACTCCTGTGCTGAAGACCAGCATCGTCGTGTAAATACTTTGCATTTCTGGCTTTGTCGTTTTGTTATGATCTTGGTTTGCTTTGGACTAGTTTTTTTTTTTTTTTTTTTTTTCGGTTGGGGTAGGACTCAATTGCTTATTATTTATAGTTGGGAAAAAAATACAAATTTCAGTACCCACCCTCATTTAGTAGATGATATATAGAGAAGTGCCACCCAATTCGATCTTTAGTTCTTCAATTTTTAATGATCAACAAAAGAATCCTCTTTTTTGTTGATTTTTTCCGGTTGAAAGGCAAAAAGAAAAAAAAAAAGGGGTGAACTTTATCTTTCACTTGACAAATTTTGGCTTCAGAGTACTGGGGGTCCTGGTCTTCAAAGTACTATATATGTTTCATTGACGGACGAGGGAATCCCCAAGAATTCACTGAACATTTATGTAGTAACTTCTGCCACTGTTATATAATGTTTTTATGAAGGTCTACCTTCTCTCTCTCTCTCTCTCTTTTTTTTTCAAAAGAAAAGTCTATTAGGGTTTCCGAGAACATCTCCTGAAAAAGAAAAAAGTGTACAAAAAAGTTTTGCAGCTGGAAAATTTTCGGAAGCATCAAAGCAAATGGGATGATGGTTCGTAACAATTTACGTTACACGAAAATGCTCGAGTCTGAGACAACCCGTATAGTAGTTAAGAACGTTCTTTGCCCACTGACCAATTGATGGATGAATTTCCAGGAGACTAAGAAGTCTAGTACACATAAAAGGAGTCTTGTGAATTTCTTGTCCAGCTTGCCATCAATGGCTTGTCCTATTGATGTCCACTATACAGAATTTGGAGAGGGAATCACCTATGTCATGCATGTGAACTATAACGTATCGATCAAGATTTTCAGACATCTCTCAATCTCTCAAGATTTTCAGACATCTTTCAATCTCTCGGTCTATCGTCGAGAATCCTAGAAAACCCTACACTGAACACTTCCAAAATTTGCCAATAAAATTTTAGTACCTTTATACTTTAATGATGATTTACGACAATGCATGTCATATATTAAGGCCAATGTCACCGATTTTTTTTCTACGCCAATAACATGTAGATATATATGGGAGTAACGGGGAGACAGTATGGTACTATCAAGCCTCCTGACTAAGGAAATGGATTGTGTGTATTTGGTCCTTAGTTTTTCTTTGTAACGACTTTGGAGTAAATATTGACCCAGGGGATCACCATAACCCTTTTTCATTTTTTGGTAATTTTGCAATGATTGCTGATTTTGTTTTCTTCACGATTTAGTTTATATTTTATTTGGAGATTAGTGGAGAACTAATAATCAGTGAAATAGAGCATATGAAGTTGATAAGAATTAGCTAATTATAGTTTCAAATTAGTAATGACCGTGACTTGTTTTTGAGAAAACTTGGTGATCATGATTTTGGGTTTTCCTTTTTTTTTTTTTTAAGAAAAAGCTAAGTGGGGCCTATATGTATGTAACTTTATTTGCTTTGATAAGAAAACAAAAAATCAACGAGTCGTCAAGAACATTTTATCTTCTAATTAAGATTAGGATCTAAAATTGGTAGTCCTACCGTAGGACTCCTACGTTTAAATTCTCCAACCCTTTTTCAGTTTTTTAAATCCCATCCTTTCTCCGTTAGGAGGGAAAAAAAAAAGAATCAATGCCTTCAAAATATATGTATACTAGTACTAGAGGCACAAGGCAAGCATTCAAAATTTCAAGAGGAGAATACGTCAAACGACAGCCCCATAAAACAATTTCTAGGAGACTATTTGTAGTAGTAGATTTTAACTTATTCCTCTAAGTAGTCTAGAGAATTAGACTACTATTTGTCCGACTCGACAGGAGAATTAAAGTTCGAAAAAGCATGCATTGCATTCGCAAAGGGATACCATTTTTCTCTGTATACTTTGAACATCAATTCTCTTTCCCATACTCTTTGCTTTAGCCATCAACTATCACACGAGCATCTTTCTCAGCAATTTCCAAGTGCGATATAAAGTGATCATTACCCTGAAGTTTCCATCTTTTTTACCCGCGATTAGGAATACAACTAGAAAATTTGACTATTACTATGAAATTTCCAGAGCATTAGCCCATATTAGGGGATACAAATGAAAAGCCTATATTTCATGTCGCACTAGTAAGTTGTGACAATCGTTAGGCGACACGTAAGACCCAAAATCTTTTTGTTAATCATATTTTGGTAAGCAAATTAATATAATTTACAGCGTTGGTCTATGCACATAAATACCATCAACTTTGGTGTCAAGTCCAATAGGCAGTACTCTTTGTTTGGAAGCTAAAGTTGTGCTTGTGCAAGAGAGAGATATTTGGTGCGTACTGGGATGGTAAGGTCTGGAAAACAAGAGAAGCTAGCAGTTAAGAAGGGTCCCTGGAGTTCTGATGAAGATAGGAAGTTGATAGCTTACATAAAAAAATATGGGATTTGGAACTGGAATCAGATGCCTGAATTTGCAGGTGATTTTTTTTTTTTTTTTTGATAATTTGGTAAATGCATACTTGTATTGTGTATAGATGATAAATGTCACACACATGTAATACTGAACATATATCCTGAATCCTGATCATTGTTGATTCTTGTTTGCTTATTTCTTGCTAGGTCTATCAAGGTCTGGCAAGAGTTGCAGACTTCGCTGGGTGAACTACTTAAGGCCTGATGTAAAGCTAGGAAACTTCACAGAGGAAGAAGACCAAACCATAATCAACATGCATGCAAATCTGGGTAGCAGGTGAACAATCATACTGAGTTTTGAATTTTCTGTTCTAACATTTGTTTTCTTGCATGCACTGCCATCACAACTACATCCCATGAATAAATTCCCAGGGCATATATATGCAGACGCAATCCAGTGCATGCAGAACTAACCAATAAATCGGGTTAATGGTATTGGTATTTGTACATTTTACTATGATATGGCATGTACCCTGTACGAGTTGTCCATAGCTTAGATTTAGTGTTTTAATTTCCTTTTCCCAGGGAAATAAGGCTAGTCTATACATCATAGATGATCAATATGATTAATCTAAGTTGCAAGGATGTCGCATGTCTACATGATCCTTAACTATCATTTGAACGCCTTTCATTATTTTATTTTCAATTTTCTTTCTTATTTATTTATATTTATATGTTGTAGATGGTCCGCAATTGCAAAACAACTTCCTGGAAGAACTGACAATCAAATAAAAAATCACTGGCACACGCGACTGAAGAAACGTCTTCTAGTCAAAACTAGTGTTGCTAATCCTGGTGCTAAATCACAAGGCACTGATGATGGAAAATCCATCCAGGAGAATTCTCCTGCAGGAAATGCCAAAGAACCGGCGACAGATACTTCTGAAGTCTCTAAACTTGAAGGCCTACTCCACGTTGAAAATTCAATAAATATTCCTCCAATTCTGTCTCCCTCTTGTGGCCACTGGGATTTTCGTGGGAGCACGCAGGAAAATACTTCCTCCACGGAAATTATTGAAGATTCTGATCAGATATTTTGGACGCAGCCATTCTTGATGGGAAATTTGAGCATGGACAGCCAGCCATCAGCATATATACAGTCTCAGTTTGATCCTCTAATATGGTCTCAAGAACCTCTAAGTCCATCTTCTAGCTTCCTTGATTCTGGCTACTGTGATAGTATTCTGTTTAATTATTCAGAAAAAGATGATGATGTTTCCTTCTTGGAACGGCCAGAATTTCAATTTTAATCCGCTTAGAATTACTTCTTTCCATGACCTGGATGAAGAGGCCTGAATAACTGGCTAGGGCCCTACTTCTGTTGTATAATGTACTCTTGACATACTTCTGAATATCTCTGCATGGTTAATGTAAATAATTGTTCAAAGAATACAAATTGGTTCCAGACCAACAACACTCTTAATGCCTCGCTTAAATGTAACCTCGTCCCCACCTGAAAATAACCCAGTCATACATGTTCCAGCATTAATTTTGGAGAAATACTGACGAAGAACTTCTCTTTTTTAAAACCAGTAAACCCCTATAATCTATCGGACGAGAAGACAACCTTAAAACTATATGGTATAATCGTTAGACAAATTTCAGCTATGGAATATATATTTGTCGAATGTGCTATCTAACTGTCAAATTAACATCAATATGATCATTACAACTATTATAAAAAGTCTACATCTTATGTAGGTAAGTAATCGTTGAAAAAAGTCATTAGTTTCTGTTGAGATTTTCAAGGGTGAATGACCCCAATATTTATCCAATTCTTTTGCTAAATAATTTCTGGTCCTTTAACTTCAATTTGGGACAATACAGTTCGTTTAACTTTTATTACGAGTTAATTTGGTGCCTCTACTTTAAGGAGGAGCAAAGTCGTCATTTATAGCAGACATCTGGGACATAGTAGTATAGTACATCAGAAGCCAATGTGCCCTTCGTCTTTTATTCTACAGTATTATTCTTCTCATGTCCCACATCCATCTGCATGATGCCATGATGGGAGAATTTTGCTGTATTTTGCTTTAGTAAAGTAAAGCCAGGGACTTTTTGAATCTCTTAGCTTCAGATTGGAGGAAAGAATGCACGTAACTTCCAGTACTCTACATGGTACAAAGAATGATTTGGCTGTTGTAATCGGGAGTGTGATCCCTGTTGATAATTTTGCAATTAAACAATTCCTGCCGGCCCTCACATCATATTGGCTTGTGTTTGAGATTGACTGGAGACAGCTTGCTGCTTTTACCAGGTTTTTTTTCTCAGTTCTCCCCCTGTTTGTTCTTGCTATTATTTCAGATTATTCATGAATTGAAATTTTCTGTTATTAGCATCTTCAGCTATTTCTCTTTCCGTTGTTAGTAATATATGCGCGTCTGCAAGTTTCAAGATTCATCTGTAGTAAAATGAGTGGGCTTAATCGAGAATCATTCGTACCATCTGCACTTGAATGTTAGTGCAATTCTTAGCATCAGTGTCAAAATTAATGATGATATCTGCTGGAAAGAAGTGCCAATTAAGTTTTTGCTTATGTTCTCTACGCTTTGCTTATGAGGAATTTTGTTGTGAAATAAGTCAAGAAATGATTAATTTTACTCTTGATGTTTACAAATTTTTGTCAAAGCAAATGATAAAAATCTATCAGTAAGGTATAATGGAGCTTGAAATATTTTTGAAGCTTAATTGTTTCTGATCTACAAATTTGATTTGATAATTCTTGTATCATCCTGTATAGGCTCTTTGTGATTACCATCAAAGCCCTAGTGCGTGGAAGCATCTCAACTGATTTATATGCTTGCTTAATTGATAATTGTGTCATTTAAGACTTTGCATTAACTATGAGGGAGAGGCGCTAAATAAAATTATGGGCTTTGCTGGAAATGATGAGGTGGCATGAGTTTGCTAGAGTACTAAACCACAGTGTTAAAGGAATAGGTTAAAGTTTGAAATGCTAATCTGATTAGAAAAAAGGTTTTTAAACCAATGAGGGTAAGCATTATGAATCTTGTGGGGGGGGGAAAGCACTGCTTGAAAATCTAATTTTTTTGCTTCTAATTAAGGTGCAAACAATAATTATAACAATGAACGTGTTGCTTAGAATTTTTGCAATGAAGTGTGGCCAAGATAATCTTCCGATTAATGTTCACATATATGAGTACTGAGATGTCATCTGCCTAAATTTATCACTCTTTTTTTGTTTTGAACTACCTGCAAAAGAATCTTGTAGTTTATTATTGAAAATTGGGGCTCTTTTCCTTTCTTCCTAAAAAATCATCCTCACATAGGGACTCTAAACTAGAAAAGCTGAGAAAAATGGCTCATGCATACAACCTTATGAGAAACAAAACTTGCATAGTTCAAGGAAGATAGCTTGTGGGCACTATGATTGGGAAAATTTTCTCAACTGAAGTCCCAAACTTGTACATCCAAGCCTGATCATCTCATTTCCCCTCTCTACATCAGGGTTGGTGTTGTCAGCAGTTCAGTAAGTAACTTCCATTGATTTGTTGGCTTGTGCATCTTTCGTAATCCAGATTCATATTTCAGATGCACACTTACTACTTGTCTGTCTAACAGCACTAGGACAGAAAGTATTGCATCCTATATTGTTATCTGTCAGCCCCTTCACACAGTTTTTACTTGTCATGCTATTAGGAAGATATTGCAACATATGTACCATTTTCATTTTGAAGTAGTGTAGACCTGAAATATATAGCTTTTAGAACATCTTGTTAAAGTTGAATACTGTTTGTCAGTTGTGTTTAAGGTAAAAGTTTATAACACTTTTTAGATTCTGAAGAGTTCGCTTGGGCATTGAGAGTTTTAGTCATAACTGCTTGACTTAAATACCTCTCTTTACGATCCTACACTTGATTCAATGTTTTTCAATTTTTATGGCTTCCCATCATTAACTTTTACCTGTATTTATAGTTTCTGAAGGACTGCGCTAGGAAACTTTTGGATTTAAGCTTCACTAGTTCACGTTTTGCCCTTCTAAGCTCAAACATGTACTGCATCATTATGTTTATCCAGATAATTTTCAAAGTTGACATAATCTTATAACAACTTCATAAACTAATATGTATTCCCTCAATGTACATGCTTCTATTGTATTTGTTTGTGCTGTATTGTAAAGTTTCCTTTAACATATTATAGTCTGGTGTTAAGCCTACTAGGTTAAAATTGTTCTTTAGAATCTTTGTGATGGGGATACCATGGAGTATTTGCACAAACAAAATAGTTGATGGTACCATGATAATATTTTACCTGCACGGAATTGTTGCTTTTCCTTCACCCGCAAATGCAGTAACATTTATGGACTGAAAGACTGTACCAGAGAATAACCATAAGCCAAATTTTTTATGTCTTACTGGCCGAAATTGCTTTTTTTACTACTTGCTGTGACAAGAAATGCATGATTTACTTGTACAATACTGCTTTTAGCATGTACCAACCTCTTTTGCTTTATAGACTCTGGAAACTGCTTAGAGTGGAATGACTTTAATGATATTTTATCTGATCCATAGGTGTCATCTGCAATGGCAGCTGGTTCAGGGGAACAACTTGAAACAGTATTTGAATGCATGAAAAATGACCGTCTGAGGACAATTGTCCTCGTCGGGAAACCAGGCGTTGGAAAAACATGGATGGCAAGGAAATTAAGTGATCATGCTATTAGGGATGGACTGTTTGACCTTAATCTATGGCTGTCCCTTAACAGACATTATGACTCTATAACTCTTTGCGAGAGTATTGCTCATCAGTTATCTCTACTTCCTGTTTCTGACGAGTGGAAATTTGAAGAAAGTAGCGAGAACTTCAATGAGAATGATATTAACCATGAGCAAAAAAAAGAGTATCTAAGAGCAAAAACATTGGAAGCACTGGAACAGAAGAGGTTCCTTATAATCTTGGATGCTGAGGGAAGTCAAATGACCAGTCATGACATTTTGCGTGAATTGAAAAATCTGCAGCTCCTAGATGGAAAAGAGTCATATAAGTTCTGAATCACTAGCACACAACACAGAGATGATCGTGGTCCTGAGGGGGAAACAAAAACAATAAATGTAGAGTGCTTGTCTGAGAATGAGTCACTAAACTTGTTGCAAAAGCTTGTTGACACTAAAGTTTATAAGCTTTCCCGCATTAAGGACTTGGCTAAATACTTCCTTGGGAAAAGACAAAGATTTCCATTTGAGGTGACCATCATGGCAAAAGTCCTAAATCATTTTGGGCAAAACGAGTCAGGAATTTGCCATTTGGAAAGCATTGAGGAGAATAATGTCGAAGATTGCAATGTACTGCAGTTGCTGACCTATGGATACGAGTTGTTTCCAAGAAACATATTGATTGATTTCTGTTGGATTGGTAACCACTTCCTCCGTAAACGTGGAAGTTTCTACTTTGGTGAATTGATTAGCTATTGGATACTAGAAGCATATCTTGACAACAACTGTTCCATTGAGGATGCTTACAAGAAGGGGCACACTATTTTGATGGAGCTCGTGGATTGCGGGCTACTCAAACAGCTAGAGTCTGGTCATGTTGGCATGACCGAGGCAAAATATGATTTGGATGATTTTGATTACTGTAAATTTGTTCAAACAACTCAACTGGGATTGGCTTCTGTCTTTGATGGTGAACTTGGCAGAGTTGTGCAGGCAAAGGGAATGATAAAAACAAGTGGTGCTGGTGAGATTAGGAAGAAGATATCAACATTATTGCTTGACCTAGATTGTCTCGACAGTGAAGTCCCCAGTGATTTCTTTCATTGTGGAAAGGAACTTGAAGTTCTTGCTATCTTCAATCCTGGACTTCAACCATTCCCTCTGCCCTTATTTGAGATGGATAAACTCCATTTACTTGTGCTTCGAGGATGCAACTTTTTGGTGAGTATTGAACAATTCCTGAAATTTGAGAATCCAATTTGTTCTGAAAACTCTGCTCCTCTCTGTGTCTTTCAAAAATTAACTGTTCTTGAAATATCGGGTCCTAGTGCCTTGAAGCATATTCCAGATAAACTTTTCAATCATACACCTCATCTTAGAAGCACCAACCTTTCGTTTCTTGAGATTGCCTCATTACCATTGTCTCTTTATGATCTGAAAGGACTAGTTTGGCTCATCCTTAGAGGCTGTTCTGATTTGCAAGAAGTACGAAGCTTGAAAATGCTAGACAAACTTGAGGTGCTTGACCTTAGTGGTGCTAGATCTCTGAAAACTATCCAAGACAAATGCCTTTACTCAAATCAGGAGCTCAGAATACTGAATCTTTCAGAGTCCCAGATTACTAGTTTACCAATGCTTAGAGATCTGAAAAAGCTCACTCATCTCTTGCTGCGTGATTGTACCAATTTGGAAAGACTTCGTAAGATTACTGCACTTTCCAATCTCCAAATTCTTGATCTTTCAGGTTCCACAAACTTTAAGGAATTCGTTGATCCATCCTTTGAAAAGCTTGCCAGCCTGAAAGTCCTTGATGTATCACAAACTGCAGTTGATAAATTACCCTTAGACATTGGCAGGTTGCACCAACTCTGTGTAAGAGATTGCCCTCAGCTAAAAGAACTGCCGCTTACAGAATCCGTTAAGGGCCTACTAATACTTGATCTTTCAGGCTCCTGCTATCTGGAAGACATTCCAGAAAGTTTCTTCAGTCACCCAACAAGCATTGGAGTACTCAATCTCTCACAAACAAACATCAAAAGGCTACCTGCCCTTTCTGGCTTGCGTAACCTGCGTCGCCTGTTACTTTCCCAGTGTATTTCTCTGGAGACATTGGGAGAGTTAAAGTCTACAACCAAATTGGAAATTTTGGATCTTTCAGGGTGTAAAGCTTTAAAAGAAGTACAGGGTAGATCTCTTGAAAACATGCATCGCCTTCAAAAACTTGACCTGTCTGGAACAAACATTACTTGTCTGCCATCTCTTTCATCAAACCTCCATCACCTCATACTGAAAGGTTGTTCTAACTTAAAAGAACTTCCGCCACTGAATCATCTATCAAGACTTGAAGAATTAAATCTCTCTGGAGTCAGTTCTACAAAAAAAGTCGCACCCGATCTAGAGCATATGGTCAATCTTCAGATCCTTGATCTATCTGACACCCAGTTGGAGAAGTTGTTCTCCTTGTTAAAGCTCAAAAACCTTAAATACCTTTCCCTCAGAGGTTGTCCGTCTCTAAGTGAGGTACCAGGTCTAGAAGCACTTACAAAACTTGAAGTTTTGGACCTTTCTGGAACAGGTATCAAGGATTTGCCATCCCTTGAGAATTTTGGCAATCTTCACAGGCTTCTCCTCAAAGGTTGTTTGAGCTTGGAAAAATTTAAGGATCTGAAGATGCACGAAGTTCTGAAGGCTACTATTGAAGAGCTTCCATATGAGATCTCAAAAGTGACTTGTCTTGAGCAGCTTGAACTGCCAATTTTCAGAGTTGGAGAGCGTGATTCTGAAAAGGACAAATTGCCATCAGAAGATCAGAGTCAGCTCCCATGGAGCATTTCCAATTGGCCGAAGGAACCAGCTTTTGATAATAAACTCATCATAACTGTGAATGGTATTGATTTTCTTCAATTCTTGAAGGATAATCCATCATTTTGGAACGCAAGTTTCACTCAGTTCCATTTCTTTTTTCATCCTACTGAGGCATATGGTAGATATGGAGATAAGAATTTCTACAGAAATGAACTGTTACTCAGAGATCTCTACTTCAACACAAGGCAACTTTCTGCTCCTATGGGGAGAGAATGGTCCTTGGAAATTCGTGGATTCATTTGTTTCCCCAAGTGTCTTGGCCTTATCCTAGCTCATGCTGAATGCATTATTTTGGTTGATGATCCATTTCTCACATGCTTATCTGACTTAGGCACTGACAATATTAAGAAGATGAATGCCTGTTGGATAGGGAGATGCAATGAAATGAAGGATCTTTTCCACACAGAAAAAGTCGAAGATGCAGCCAGATCAGGTGGAAGTACCAATCATGGTTCGCCATCGCGGGTCGCGGTTGCGTCGCAGTCTCAGTTGTTCCACATCCGTCGCGGCATATCGGTTGAATATCAGGTGATATGAACATTATAACACATTAAAGATTCCAAAAATTTTGAAAAAATTACTAAAATTAGAAAATATTGAAAAAGACACAATTTAAAAAAATATCGGAGTCGACTCCGAGTTGACTCGGATATATCGACCGATATCATGTATCACGGATTCGAATCGGTTAATATCGGTCGAGTCAGAGCGAGTCGTCGCGGATATGGTGATATCCGTTATTCGGGGATCGGTATCGTACCGGAGCCTTCCGTTCCAGATACGACTCGGCCGATACGTATCGGTATCGGCCGATATGGCGAACCATGGTACCAATACTGGGTTGCCGGAGCAAGATGTTGGAGATTTAAGAATCGGGGAGAATTTAGAAGTTCTCTGTGTTACTCATGCTGCTAGTTTGAGGAGCATTTGCAAAGGGGACCTGCAAAGCAGTAGCCTAAGAAATCTGAAGTGTTTGTTGCTAGAACATTGTCCTCAAATTTCAGCTCTTGCTGCTTCACCCGAACAGCTAGGAAACCTTGAAACTCTTCAACTCAGATTCTGTGACAAACTGGTGACATTATTTGAACAAGAGCTAGCTGCATTTCCAAAATTGCATACCTTAAAGCTATGGGCCCTCCCAGAATTTAAAAATGTTAGATGCGTCTTGCCAGCTCTACAAACTTTAGAGATTGGGGAGTGCCCCATGCTTATAAATGTCTTTTCTTCCCCTCACGTATTAGTTAACCTCCGGAACCTTCAAATCAAATTTTGTGACGCAATGGAAACTGTCTTTGGATGCGGCAATTTGACACTTCCAAATTTGGAAATGTTGTGTCTGTGGAATTTACCAGAGCTGAGGAGTGTTGGTGCTGACTGGCCATCATCAAGCAAGGAAGTTGTTCGTGAATGCCCAAAACTGTCTTTGCGAAAGAGGAATTAAATTTCAAAGGTCAAGTTCATATTGGAGTATGACATTGAAAGAAGAATAGTCGGGTGGAGGGAAGAAATATGATTCTTCGCGTGCTGATTGCTGAATAGATACAGCTTCAGGTTTGTCACCATTTGATCTTGTTTTAGTTTAAGTGCATATGTTCATGTCCACTCCATAATATATACACTAATAGAAAAGGGTTTACTGCTTCTTGATGAAATTCTGCTGTAATTATGGCCATTCTCAGGGTTGGCCTAACACCATGAATCAGGTGAATTTTCATGTGAACATTATCTGCCATGTTGTTTCAACATTCGTGTAACTATTTTAAGATTGATTGTCTATACACAGGTTCCCAGATGGAGTGGTGCTTCAACAATTAGCCAGAATTGGAGTCATTAAAGAAAGATGGGCAATATTGCAGGAGCAATGGAATTTTGTGTATTTTTCTTTGACACAGGAAACATCATGCTGCTTTCTTGAATTGACACTCATGTTTATTTTGTTAATGATCTTGACGTTGCAGCTGTTGTACGTACGTGTGCAATAAGAGGGAAGTTTCAGTATCTCAATAATTGGGTTGTTGAAAGCATGAAAATTCTTTTTGGACGAGAGTATGGAGTTTGCCATTTTTGCTCATGGTGAACTTATACTGCTATTATCATCAATGAACAGTTGAATTTTGACCGGTTTCTAACCCATTCATGAGGAACGAAGGAGGGTTTTTTTTTTTTTATAACTTCCAATAGTTGTATTGAAAGCCGGTGGTCGAGATTCAGGTACAGCAATCTTTTGCTTTCGGTTTGGCCTTACCTAATGCAGGAATTTGGAGTATAAACTAAGAAACAAATACAATGCTAGTAGTAGTTGGTGCTGTCAAAAAAATGGCTCTCATAAACTGAAGGAGCGAAAGAGATCTTAAATTTTTCATTCATAAACTCTCTCTTTAGTCTTTATACAGAGCATACAAGAAATAAACTAACATAATTGTTGCTAACAAATCTCACAAAAATTACTTGCTAACAAAAAGTTAACATAATCTTCTGCCTAGCAAAACTATAAGGTAATACTCTACTTAGCCAAAATATCTGTTAACAACTCAACATGATTTTCTATTAACAAATAACAGCTAGATTTATTTAATAACTAACTAAATTATTTGAACTAGTGCTTAAGGCACACTTTGATGTGTGTGCAATTAACGAGAAATATATTTATCACAATTATCTCTTTAAAATTTTTTTTTTTGCGATGTAGAAAATCATACACGAAACGAAGATGATGGAACTAGAGAAGAATATGTGGGAGTTGGAAATTAGCATGAGATAGTTGTAGTTATTTGGTAACTGAATAGATAACTATCTACAATTAAGATAAATTTGCCCTTATAATTAAGGGTATATTAGGAATTTTAAAGAGTGACGCTGTATATTTACGCCACACAGTGACTCTCTCCCTTTATATATTGTATAAATAAGATTTGATGAAAAATAAACATAAGAGTAAATTTAAAAACACATAAAGTTACCACCAAGTTAACTACCTACAAAAAAATTTACTATCGTATAAAGATACCAAAAAGAATCTAACAAAATGTGCAGGGAAGTTGCATATTCCAATACTTGGAAAATTTTCCAACCAAAAGAATAAAAAGGAAAAATGGCAACCCAAGAATAATTGAGTAGTAAAGGTTTACGCAACTCTAAAGCGACAGCGAAAATTACACTTTTGTCTGGGGTCACACTCACACCCAAGTCCAGTCTTCTCTTCACCCAGCGCCAGCAAGGTGAAAAAAGAGCAAAGGAACGGATTATTCTTTGCTTGGCAGTTGTTATTACGCGGGATCTTTCTTCTTTAACAAACACAATAATCAAAAGTTGCAATTTCATGCTCCTGTGCTATGATTTTTATTGGGTGTGTGGGTTCCAGCCTTACATAGAATTGGAATGTAGTTTTAACAGGGATAGGATACTGCACCTCCAGTTTCTTCACAAACAACCAGCAAATTATGTCCAGCGCCTCAGAAATTCCACAAGACCAAGCGGAGGAGGAGAATGTCTCAAAACCTCAGAACCAAGAAACCATCCCCACCACCACCCCGGATATTACCCAACAAGAAGCCGCCCAGGTGGCCGCGGCCGGGTCGGCAAATCCTCCCACTCCAGTCAACGACACTGCAAAGGCAGCAAATGCTGGGGACCAGCTAAAGGTGTCCAGCAGCTCAGAAATCGCAGCAGAAGAGAATGCAACAGACACTGCGCAGGCAGCAACTGCTCAAAACCAGCAAAAGATGTCCAGCAGCCCAGCAATACCAGAAGAGGAAGCAATAGCCAATTCCCCTAATCCTCCCGAGTCCACAACGAGCAACCAGAATCAAGAAAAACCGTCCAATGTCCAAGAAATTTCTCCGGGTGCAGGCGTAGCCGCTTCAACTGGTCATCCAAAACTCGACTGTTCAGCCCAGCCCACAGAAACCCGGAGTCAAGAAACTGGTTTTTCCAGTGTCCCAGAAAATACACCAGAGGAAGCCGAAGCCAAAGCCAAAGATGCCGACGCCACCACTCCTCCTAAACTCGATAATACTCCTGCTCAGTCCACCACCAGTGAAATAACCCATGATCTAAAGAAAACTGATGAAAATGAAGCTCCAAAGAAAGATTTAACCACCAAAGGCAGCACTAGTCCTCCTGTAAATGAAACCCCAAAACAAGATTCAACCAATGCTTCCCCAAAACCAGGTTCCTTTCCGACAGGCGTCCGTTCGAAAAAAGACTCAATCTGCCTCCCTTTTCTAGGCTTCCACAAATCCATGGAGAAAAAACCACAATCCAAGAAGAAGCCAGTCCAAGACAGCACTGCCACTACTTCTTCTGGCAAAGATGAGCTTCGCAAGTTGATTGATGCAGATATTAAGTACATAGAGAAGGAGATAATCAACCTCGACAAGTACAAGGACCAAGTACTTTCGCAGGTAAATGAGGCAAAGCAGAGGTTTGACAATCTCAGCAGCAATGATCAAGGTACCGAAAGAGAATTTGACGATCTCAGGAAGGAAGTGACCAAGTTGAAGCTTCAGATACCATCAAAACACAAAGCTGATGCAGAAGAGAAAGATTCACACAAAAGTCAGCAGGCCGGTAAGTCCTCAAGAAACATACCCGACGCCGTGAAGGAAAAAATGCCTCAGTTATATATGAGCAGCTCGATTGAAAATTGTGTTGAGGTGAGAGAATTTAAGGCTCTTTTTAACGGGCTTGCTCTGGAAGAGAAGCTCTGTTTGCTCTGTTTTGCTGTGTTCCCTGAAAAAGCTATTATCAAGAAGAGGCTGATGGTCCACTGGTGGATAGCAGAAGGTTTCATGCCACCAAGACAACAAGATGCCAATCGGAAAACTGCTGAGGAGTTTGCTGATGAGTACTTTGAGAAGCTAACAAGATTGGGATTCATTGAGCCAGTGAATAAAAAGCGTAGCCTCTATGTGGGATGTTACAAAATGCAACCTTTTGTTAGGCTTGCACTGATCACGATGGCTGAAAAAGCCAAGTTCTTTAATTTTGACAAGGAGGGTAATCCAACTGAGGATTTTTCTGGCACATTGCAGGCGTGCTTGATGGGCAGAGGTCTGTTGGACTATCAAGATTTACAGAACGAGCGCGCAAATCCAGATTTGGAGAAACTTCATGCTGTGTTCAATGTCAATGAGGCGATCCTTGACTTTAAGCCCGAATGGTTTTCAATGATGAAGAATCTGAATTTTCTTCATCTAGGAAGTTGGAAAGTGTCACCCACTGATCACATTGAGGTTGACGAGTCCCATTTCTTGAATGGATTGAGCAGTATGGAGCATTTGAAGTTCTTTAGTCTTCAAGGAGTTTCGAGAATAATGGAGCTTCCTGAATCCATTTCAAATTTGTCAAATTTGATAATCTTGGACCTGAGAGCCTGTCACAGCCTTGAGTCAATTCATGAAGGTATCCGCTATATGAAGAATTTAACATACCTGGATATCTCCGAGTGCTATTTGCTAGAGCGTATGCCCAAAGGTATTTCTATGCTCTCAAATCTACGCGTGCTGAAGGGGTTTGTCGTAAAATCAGAGCAGGGCCAGGGCAAGGGCAAGGGCAAGGGCAAGGGCAAAAACACTTGCACTCTTAAAGACCTGGCACAATTGAAAAAGCTGATCAAATTAAGCATTTATACTGGCCTTGTTGAATTTCCCACTCGTAAGCATCTTGAAGATTTGCAGAAGATAGAGGCTCTTAAGAAGCTTACCATGGCATGGGGTGGGACTCCACTGCATACTGAAGATGCTAGCAAGACTGAAGACTCTATACAACTGACGAACCTGGAAAAACTGGACCTTAAGTCTTTCCCCAAGACTGCCACCCCCGGTTGGCTGGAGCCTTCCAGTTTGAAGTCACTAAAGAAACTATACGTTCGAGGTGGGAAGTTCTCTGATTTGGGGCAATACCAGTATCTTGATCAGAAAGGACCAAATGAACCAGCTAAAAACAAATGGAACGTAGAAATACTGCGACTCAAGTATCTAAGTGAAATAAAAATGGATTGGAGAGAGCTGCAAGACTTATTTCCAAATTTGATTTATTTGGAGAAAGTCAACTGCCCCAAGCTTTCTTTCTTCCCATCTGATGGATATGGAGTTTGGATCAATGAGGAGAAGTTAAAGCAGATGCAAGTGAGGTCACAATGAATTTGTCAAACATTCCTCGAATAATCTTGGAATGCTGGGTGTATGGTGGTTGCCTCTGATCAAAATTTCACCATGATATTGGGGTTGTCTTTTTTTTTGGATTTGCTAGTAAACTTTTTTTCTTGTTTTTTTTTTTAATTGCCATCTATGCTTACCAATGTGTTAATGGATATCTTTTATTGCCTTTTTCTTCTATGTTGAAGTAATTGGTATGGTTGTGTTTTTTGTTGAATGTCTTGTCAAATTTGTTGGACACTATGAATTGTAGATAATCATATCCGAAATATGTATGATTTTTGCAGCTAGCCGATTGAGCATTTCTTGATTTTCTTTTATTTATTGTGCATTACATCCCAGCATTGCAAAGTTTTCTTCTGCATTGTAAATCAAGAATGGACGAACTGTACATAGGTGCAAGGTCAATCTTGACATTCCTCAGATAGTAGTAATTCAAGGGGCAAGCTATAAAGATGTTGGCACGGCTAAGAATAGTCCGCTGGTTCATTTTTTTTTTTTTTTTTAGCTCTAAGTCTCAATTGAAAAATGCTTAGTGGTCCAGAATGAACTGGAGGTGCATTGGAGAGTGCAGGATTTATTCTCAAGTTTGATTTGCTTGGAGAAATTCAATTATCCCAAGCTCGACTTCTTCCCTTTTCATGGATATGGAGTTAGGATCTACATGGAAATACAACTGCAGAAGAAATGATATCATGATGAATTTGTCAAACATTTCTCAGATAATATACTTCGACCTTGCATGCCAAGCCGGGCTGCTGGTGATTAGAATTGAACCTTAGTTGGAAGATCAGTATTCTGCAAGTGACTTAACATTTTGGACTATTTAACAATGTGAATCTGCACGTTTTTCCGAATGCCTTTCTCCTTAGATTTATCATCAACATGATATGGCTTGTTGGATTCTTTTATTCTTTTTATTCGATAACATTAAATAAGAATGGATGATCTGCAAGCATGTTTGCCCGACTATGGGGTGTCTGTGGCTCATCCTTTCATTTCTTCACTCTCAGATGTCCTCCTTAGCCGTTTAACCAGACTATATGTCTCGTGTGGCCACATGTTTTGATGCCAAATACTTTGCTTGCCAATGGAATTCAATAAAATTAGCTTTCCATACTTCTAATGTAAGTTAAGTAGATTCTGCTTTCATTTCCCCAAGGGCCAGGAGAACCTTCTTTTTCTTCTTCTTCAAATGGGGCCAAGATCATTCCTGTGGAATTTACCTCGCACAATAGAATATTGTGTATGGCCTTTTTATAGCGGCCTTATCATATGAACCCAGTATTATGATAGAGATCATGTTTTCTTGAGAAGAAGATAAATACCATACTTGGGTTGACTGCATTTCAGATAAATTTTCAATCCCCTAACAAAGAAAGCCGGTAAATGATTTCCAGCATTCTAGTTATTCCACAGAATTTCTCCACCAAATACATCATGATTACTACTTTTCTGTTAATTCCACAAAAAGAAGCCAGTACGCAAATGCATCTATAAGCATCAACCTCTTATTTTATTTGTCTGTGTCATTTATGTTCGCCCTGAATCAGTTCAAAGCAGGCCCTGAACTGACGTCCAGATAATAGAAGAGCTAAATGCAGACTAGGTGTGAAAGTGTGGTCTAAGTGTCTTCTGTGTAATCGTAATGTGGATTTGAGTCAGTGAAACTGGTAAATTCCTGATATCTTATAGCATTGATTTGCCGTTCTCTCTTAAAATCAACTGTATCACTATCAATACACACCACTAAGAAGTTTGCTAGTAAAGGCTGAGCAGGAATATGCTGCATTCAAGGATAACTTGCGATTGAGTAGGGATCTTAACTCATTGATTTGTTTTCTTCTCCTTTTCTTTATTCCCTACACCTTGTTTCACATCTTAATATCCCTTTTTTATTTTCCGATTGGAGCAAGATTCAAAACTTGTAATAGCAGGAGAATAAGAAGCAAAAAGTTGTCGTTTATGCTCTGGCATTCACAAAGCGGTCCTGTGAAAGCACATGACGAGTAAAGAAAGCTCAAATTGAAGTAATGAATCCGAAATATTTCGTTTAGAAAGTTGCCTACGACTCAAAAGGTAGAAGAGATTGAATGAGTTTGTTCTTATTCAAAGTAAAAAAGATTTTTTGTTTGTCCTGGAATGGATGTTGATTACCAGACCATATTTTGGCCCCAGCAGTGATTTCAGATGAAATGCTTTATGTTAACGGGCTGGATAGTGAAGTTATGGTCCCATGATTGAAGTAATTATACATTGCAATGGCAGAAAATATCTGTAACATTTTATAAAGATGCTATCCTAGATCATAGATGATAGATCTTGAATTTGATGGTAGATATTCAAGAACGCATCCTTGTCCAGAATGAGATAAGAAATAAACAAAATATCAAGGAACTTTTAGTTGCCCAAAAAATAATAATAATAAAGGCAGTTTGAAGACCGAATCTACCCAAGTTTTGGCCTTCCTCATGACTTGTGCTGTTGGTAAGTGGAGCTTTCATCTTTTGCAGCTTTTATTCATTCTCAGGTTCTAAGCTAATTATATCCTTGATTTTTTCCAAATTAGAAAATATTCAGTAAAATCCCAGCATGAAACTGCCATAAGTTTAAGTAAAGTAACAAAAATATGATTTCTAACCCCTTATTTCATGGAGGGCTATCATAGAAATAACAAAATCCAATAATTTAAGAGAGCCGGAACCAAAAATACCATAAATCAAACAAAAGTTATAAGCTTGTTACATACTTTTTTCTTTTTTTTTTTGTGGTTAGACTGTAGACTGTTGTTGTGATTGCTGCTGGTTTTGGCTCTCTGCTGGATTAGTTTGTGTGTTGGGTCGTTTGGGAAGTTTCTGATGCAGAATTTCCCCCATCATTTTAGCAGCCAGTGGCAGACCAGCACATTTGTCAACAATCATGTCTTTTAGGGGCATAAGATTTTCTGGGAACTTTTTCCCATCTTTCTCAACTGAGTCTTTGAATATTTTCCAGCAGATTTCGTCGTCCTTGAGGATTGGAAGCCGATGCAAGTTCTCTTCACCAACCATCTTCTTGGCAATTTCTTCGGACCTGGTTGTGATAATGACTGTCCCACCATGCCTTTTTGGGAGCCCATATGCAAGTTGTCCATAGCATTTATCATCCTCTGTTGACTCAGAAGCCAAGTCCCCAAAGCACTCGTCCCAGTTCCTAACATCGTCCGGCTTCCTAACATCATCCAGCACAATTAGGTACTTCTTCCCCATCAATTGTAAGCGAAGAGCAAACATCAGTTTCTGAAGACCAAGATTTTGATCTTTACCGGCTTCTTGGATGATCTCATCATCCACTCCCAAGCACATCAGCATCCTCTTAACAGTCTCCTTGCTGTTGTCCTCGTCATCCTCAGGCTGCTTTGACAGACACACCCAAATCCTGGGGAGGAAATGATCCTTCACCTTCTTATTGTTGAAGATTAGCTGACACAGGGTCGTTTTCCCGACCCCGGTCATTCCAACTATTGCAAATGCCTTGAACCCATTTTTGCTCTCTTTCCTGAGAAGCAGCCTCTCCAAGAATCTCTCTTTGTCCTCGAATCCATGGACTTTGCTTGGATCCACCGTTCGCGAGCTCCACCGATAAGTATCCAAATTCCCAGTTAAGCTCACGTCTGCAGCATCCTGTGTAGTAGCAGCAGCAGCAGTAGTACTAGACCCTTCTCCTTTTCCACTGCCTTCCCCACCTTCTAATTTCTTACTAATCTCCTTGAGTCTCTTGTCAAGTTTATAAGCGAAAGCTAGTGCCTCGGGACTGTATATACTCTGGCCTTTGGAAATCAGCTGCTACTGGGTCAGTAGATTGTTGAGAAGGTAAAGATTTTCCCTGTATTCTTCAGGTTTGATAGCCGTTGACTTGTCTTTAAGCAAGTTCTTCAATTTTTCGAAGTCTCCATGCAGACCAAACAGGACTGTCGACAGACAATGCTCTGTGGACTTTGTTTCTTCGATTGCTAATTCCAGTTTGTTAAACAGGTACTCTTCTATTTGCCCGGCCATCTGAACAACCCCAACACGGCCTCTAGTTTTGCACTCTCTCGGCAGAATGTGAACAACTGGGTGGATCTTTCAGCCTTATAAGAAAATCTGAGGACAAAAACTTTGAGATGCTGAAAACGGGAATGCTTTTTAAGAATGGGATGATAATATGACCATCCGGAAAAGCGTTGAGTAAGTTCGTGGGTGACTCAAGTGTTCATACTTTACCAGGTGAGCTCATCTTTCAGCAAATAATTGGCAACTTCAGGGTTTTTGATTTTTCAGGTTTTTGCTGACGTCCTGGGCCTCAAGATGCATGACATCACTTAACATGCTTTTTAAGTATTAGTAGTTTTTAGAAGGCATCTTGGTTCAACAATTTGAAAAGCGAAATAGTAGTTCAAAATATTTGCCACATGAATTTTCTTGCCATCTACTTTTAAAATATTAATTTTATGTCCCTTCATAAATTTAAATTAATAAAATTGGATTCCAATCTAATTTTTTTATCACTTTTAATCCGAAATCACCACGTAACCTACAAAAATGATTACAAAAATAATCCAATCATGTAGTTATTGTTTATGTAAAAATCACATTTTTAGTGACAAAAATAAATATGAAGCAAAACTTCCAACTCGAACTCAGATTCTACACCTTTAGGAGCAAAAATGAATATGGTACTTGTCAATTATCAATTATAAAAGGGATTTATCTTTTTACCTCTAAAAAAAACGATCATATGTGAACTACATAATGGATTTCGGATAAAAAGTTGTCAAAAACCAGGATTGGAACTAAATTTTACTGATTTAATTTTGTAAGGGACATAAAATTAATATTTTAAAAATGAATGACAAAAAAATTAATTTGATAAAATATGAATAACATTTTGAATGATTTTTCCCATTTGAAAACCACAAGGGTCTGCGTCAAAATGTCGGCCAAGGTTGAATCCTCTGGGAAAAAAAAAAAGCAAAAATAATTCACCACTGCTTTGTGTAGGGCCCATTATCCTGTTAGTACATAATAATGCAAATAGCTTTCCATTAATGCATGAATAAATGACCAATATTGACCTATTTTTCGGTTCTTTAGATTTACTTGTAAGTCATAATCGTCGTGAATGGATGGAAGAAGCAGATGAAAGTGAAAAGATGAAGAATTCGCCTGATAAAGATGATTTAAACGACTAGTAGAAGTAAAGAATCCCCTCTCTTTTTTTTTTTTGTGGTCTTTTTCAGGCTCACTCTTCACTGTCTTTCCCCCCCTTTCTTTGTTTCCTCGCTGTGTTCTTTAAAGACAATAATGAATTGATTCAGTCGGACTCACAATTATCTTAACTCCCTTAATATTGCTTTATCTGCTCTCTGGCATGATTCATACGAACTGAAACAGTCCATTTCTTCCTGACCAGGGTAAAGAAGAAGAAGAAAGAACGCAAAGTGTACTATGGAGCTCCCAAACTTAGATTATTGGAAGCAGCTGTGGGATAAATGGGAACTTCGGGCATTTATCGTTATAAGCCTCTCACTTCAAACCTTCTTGATTCTATTTGCCCCTCTGAGGAAGCGGGCATCAACAGGTTTCTTAATAATGGCAGTATGGTCAGCCTACTTGCTGGCAGATTCTGCAGCTATTTTTGCAGTAGGACTCATCTCCAACAGTCAAGGCAACTCAACACCTCATAAGGATCGCGATGACAATGCAGATCTATTAGCATTTTGGGCTCCCTTTCTTCTCGTGCATCTTGGTGGCCCTGATACCATCACAGCTTTTGCACTGGAGGATAATGAGCTCTGGCTTAGGCACTTGCTTGGACTCGTATTCCAGTCCGCAGCAGCCTTTTATATCTTCTTCAAGTCACTTAAAAACATGCTATGGATCCCAACCGTCCTCATGTTCGTTGCAGGCATCATCAAGTATTCTGAGCGAACGCGTTCGTTGTATCTTGCAAGCTTGGGTAGATTCAAAGACTCCATGCTTACAGAACCTGACCCGGGTCCTGACTATGCTAAGCTCATGGATGAATACTATTCAAAGAAAGAAGCAAAACTTCCAACTCGAATTCAGATGATTGGGGAACCTGGTAGAGGAAACAAAGCTTCAAGAGTGAAGGAAGGACCGTTGACAGACCTGGATGTGGTTCTCTATGCTCATCAATTCTTCCGAACCTTCAGAGGCCTATTTGTGGACCTCATATTCAGCTTTCGCGAGCGTAATCAAAGCCGGGATTTCTTCCTCAAGAGAACAGCGGACGATGCTTTCAGAGTTTTAGAGGTCGAACTCAATTTCTACTATGACGTCTTCTTCACAAAGGTGAGTGTGATGTACACTAACCTGGGATGTATTGGCCGGTTTGTTTCTGTTGTCTGCACTGTTGTTGCTCTTGGTCTGTTCTACTCAGAAAGAAAGAAGAGAAAATTCAATGGCTTCGACGTTGGAATTACCTACACCTTGCTTTATGGTGCGATTGCCTTGGATGTCATAGCTATCATTATGCTCATTTTCTCTGATTCGGCCGTGGTTAAAAAGAATGAATTTCGACGTCGACTAGCATTTAAGAAGCAGAATGGAACTTCAACTACTCAAGCAGCTTCCCAACAAAGTGCTGCTGCTGGCGGAGCATCAACACGATCTCCCTTTCGAAATTTTTTTAGGCGGCTTTGGCATGTCTTCAGCAGGAGGTGGTCAGAAACTGTTTCGACTTACAACTTAATAAGCTACTGCCTTCATCCTCGCCTAGAAGTGAAGGAAAAGTTCATTGGATATATTGGACTGGCCAACATTTTGGACCAAATGAAATATGTTAAGACGGAGCCTTTTTCCACGGAATTAAGGGATCTCATCTTCAGAGAGCTTAAGAAAAAATCAGATATAGCTGATGATTTAGATACTGCTAAGGACATAAGTTCAGCCAGAGGTGACTGGATTCTACGACTAGAAGGTTTTGGTGAGTTGCTGCCTTACATTTCCCAAATGGACTACGATCAAAGCCTTCTCTTGTGGCATATTGCCACTGAACTCTGTTACAGTGATGAAATTGCAAAAGGTAAAGTCAGGGATAATCTATACTTACACTATATATGAAAGTGTGATAGATGATTTACGAGCAAGTGTTTCTTATTTTTTTGATTTGCCTATTTTACTCATGAGTTTACAACTTAGAAGTTTAAAATGTTGGACAGAGATGTCATGATACTGTCGAGATGAATAAATTCTGTTTTGTTTGTTTGACAGCCTCGAGTCCCAACAAGGACCGCGATTTCTCCAAGCTCCTTTCAGATTATATGCTATACCTTCTTGTCATGCAGCCTACAATGATGTCTGCAGTTACAGGAATCGGGCAAATAAGATTTCGTGATACATGTGCAGAAGTTAAAAAGTTTCGAGGAAAATTAAAAAAAAAAGAAAGAAGAGCCTAATGTCATTCAAGTCATCTGTTACGTGATTCATAGCCTCTTCAAATACTTTTTCCTCAGTTTATATTGGTTCATCCTGTGTTTAGTCTTCATTATCACCTCTCCCTTGTTGATTATCCTGGAGATTAGCAAGTCCCTCTTCGGATGGGAAGCGCTAGATGTGATTCTGGGCAATGCCAACAAGTGTCATCAATCCATTTTGGCAATCTTTGGCAAAGGGGAATTGGCAAAGACGGAAGACGATCATGCAAAAGTATGTAAAGAAATTCTTGACGTGAAAACTGAAGTTAAACCAGTTGCTATCAAAGGAGACAGGAGCAAGTCAGTTCTGTTCGATGGTTGCATTTTGGCCAAAGAGCTTAGGGACTTGAAAACATCAGATGAGGGAACAGAAGTAGATAAATGGAAGATAATGAGCAAAGTGTGGGTGGAACTGCTATCCTATGCTGCCATTCATTGCAGAGCAAGCGCTCATGCACAACAACTTAGCAAAGGGGGAGAGCTCATCACTTTTGTGTGGCTGTTGATGGCTCACTTTGGCTTGGGAGATCAATTTCAGATAAGTGAAGGACATGCCAGGGCTAAACTGATTGTGGGGAAGTAGCTCAAATGCTCAATATGCACTCTACTCTCCACTCTCTAGTCTGTCCAGTTAATACTACTTTGTTTTGATTTGCACGTTCGTTATCTGTTGTACTGCCTTTTTTTTTTTTAAGTTGCTGCAATAAGTTTTAAGTTTGCTAAATCTTTCCTCAAAGAAGAAATGCATAAGTTGATCTTGAACTTTGCTCTTACAAATTGCGTTTAGCACCTAATCAATGAATAGAAATTCGAGTCTCAAATCCTAAGCTCGACCATGGCAGAAGAACGAAGGGAAAATTAACAATCTTTTACCTACAAAATCTTGCTGCCATTCATTGCAATCAGATGGTGAATATCTTAACTAAAAGCGCGAGGTTTGTTATGGAGAACCAAAGACTATCCCTGGGCCATGTTCAACCAATCCACGAGCCCAAAAAATGAGATGGATCCCTCTGTCAATGATAAGGCTTTTCCGTAATATGCACTACTTATTCTATTATATGGGATGGGCAGCATGCTCAATTATAATGGAAAAAGCCTTTTCTTTCACACTTGAGCGACTCATTTTTTTTAGCGCCTGGATGATTTGCGTTCAGATGTTGGCCCTCGCGGCTGCTATTTTTGGCTTTTTCTTCTTTAACGATATATTTTTGGTGCTTCTCAATGTACATTAACAAGTAGTATGTAATAGTGGCCTTTGACTTGCTCTTATGACTGCAAAGGAAAAAAATTCTCACTCAGCAGTAAAAACCAATTTCACGTGCCTCTTCTTTCATCTTTTCCTACTTTCTTTCTTGCTTCTTCCTTTTTTTTTGAGACAAAATTCTACATATTGCCTCTATCTTTCTTTTTTTCTGGAGAACATTCTCTCTTGCTTCCTTTTCATATTTGTTAGGGAGTTTTTTTTTTTTTTTTTTGGGTAATTGAATATGCATCAATATAAGAGAGAGAGAGAAAATGCATCAATCTAATAGTTAGGTGCAAGCAAGTCGAACTCAATCAAATAATTCACAAGTTTGTTCAATCAAAATTCGAGCTTGAAATCAATCAATCTGAGTTCAAGCACTTCTAGTATGTGAAATTTGAAAGTTGATTGAACTCAATCAAGCTTCACATATATATGCCTTTTTTTTTTATTTCTTAGTATAAAAGGTTTATTTTGTTCCTTGTTTAACATTATATAAAATAGAACAACTTGTGCGAAATGCCACTAAATTGTTGCGAGATCCGTTCTGATCAAGCCTTGTTTGGATTGCGATTTTTCGTCGAAAAATTACGTCGTTTTCCGTTATCACATTTTCCTATTACCTTTTTTCCTCACATACATCAAATCGCTACAGTAATTTTTCCATAAAAAATCATGAAAAATGCAATCCAAACACCTAAATTTTTTTATTTACAAAAAAATGTCACTGAACTAGTAAATCTGTATCGTGTTCGTCACCTCCACCTCCATTCTTTTTCACCCGCAACCACCCATCACCTACATTGCCACCCACCGCCGTCAACTCCACCTCCACTCTCCTTCCTCTCCCATTTTTCTTTCTTCTTCCTCCTCCTCCCTCTTCCTTCCCTCCCCTCCTCTCTCTTCCCCTACGCCCTGCCTTCTCGATGACTTCCCGAGAGTTTAATTTGGTCTAACCGTCGAATCCATCTTTGTTTGGGCAGTTGTACTTGGCAAGTCAAGAGAAATTTCACAAGGAGGTTGATAAGCACTATTGGAAAGCCATAGGAGAATTGATTCCGCATGAGGTCCCGAATATTGAGAAAAAGAGAGGGAAGAAGGAACAAGAAAAGAAGCCATCAATCACCGTCATCCAAGGACCCAAACCTGGCAAACCCACCGATCTTTCAAGGATGCGCCAAATATTAGTGAAGCTCAAGCAGAATCCCCCACCTCACATGATGCCACCTCCGCCTGCTCCTTCCAAGGATGATAAAGCTGGGAAGGACCCAAAGGATGGGAAAAATGCAAAGGCCATGACTTGAAAAGAAGCTGAAGCTAGTGCCAAGGGATCTGCAGTCGGTGAGGCAGCTGCCGCCCCCATTAAAGAACCAATTGCTAATGGCTCTGCTCCCGCATCTGCTGAAGAGCTGAAGCTGTGGCCAGTGAGCAGCCTGCTAATTAAATTTCAATGGTAGTTAGTCTTGATAGTCCCCCCCCCCCCCCGACATCCTTTTTTGTGATGGGTGGTTGTGGAAGAGAGAGCAGGGGAGGGAAGGAAGAGGGAGGAGGAGGAAGAAGAAAGAAAAAGGGAGAGGAAGGAGAGTGGAGGTGGAGGTGACGGCGGTGGGTGGCAATGTAGGTGATGGGTGGTTGTGGGTGAAAAAGAATGAGGGTATACTAAGAACACTGGTACATGGGAATTGGGATGCATGACCCAAAAATGAGGGGGAAGACGACTTCAAAAATGTTGAAACCCATTTCTTTTCTGTAGTTAGCATTTAGCAAAGCAGTAGTATTAGTGCTCTTCTTTCTTTCTTGGAGGCTTCTGATTCCTTTGACCGGTGAAATGGCAATGGTATTGGTGGGTGCAGCGGCGTCCCGCCGTGGGGTGGGGTCTGAATTTCAGGTAAAACCGTGACTTTCTCTTTGGCCTTTTGGACTTTCAACTGGTACAATAACATGTGAATCAATTTACATGTTGGAGAGCTTCAAGGAAAAGGCTTTGCTGACAAAATTGCCCTTCAAAAAATCAATTTCCGTCTCTCCTAACGGCATTAGCATACGGAGTGATCAAAACGGTACAGATTTACTAGTTCAGTGACATTATTGGCTAAAAAAAAGTTGAGTGACCAGAACCGGCACCTCGCAATAGTTTAGTGATAATTCGCACAATTTGCTCTATAAAATTTAAATTTAAATTTTTTAAAACCTAATGAGGCTCGATTAAACTCGATTGGACTCGATCTATACGAGTTTGAGCTCTAGTAAAATAAAATAAAATCGTACTCAAATTTGAGCTGTACTTTCAAGAGGTCAATGAGTTTGAATCCAAGTTTTTTAACTCGAAATTGAATTCAACTTGACTTACTGCACAGTACTAGTCGAGAAGCAAAATAGCAATTTATATAGGAACTATTATCTTTTGTCCATTCTTGTTGGCAGAAACAAGTTGTGACAAAAAAAAAACCTTAAAACCGGAAAACACGGAGTACCGGTCGAAATTGAATTAATTATTGCTCTTATTTCAACTTCAACGTACTCTATTTCCCACATTGAATGTCTCTTGCCTTCATGCATAAAAAAACCAAACATTACTGACTATAAACCTCATTTGATTGTGATTACTGATTATGGATCATCCAACCTTACTTAGCAAGACTGAAATTGTGAAATCTGGACTGCCTGGTCATCGCAAAAACCATTCAATCTTCGCCGCTTGATCTTGTCTTTAGCAGTCGCATCCTCGGTCTCAGAACTTGTAAATTGGTGAAGGATGCTATTTTGCGTCGAGGTACAGATTGATACTGCACCGGACGCTTTAAGAGAGTTATCCATTACCATTTCTTGCATTGCTTTCAAGCACTTCAGCAACTTTTCCTATTAAAATAAAATCAACAAGGACTTCCGTCAATTCAAATAACAATCATCACATTATCCCAAACTTTAATACGAAGAAATATGCATCCCATTTTCTAAAATTCTTTTTCGTTACAAAGAATTAAAAAAAAATGGAAACAAATACACTGTTATATCACAAAAAGTTATTTTGTATCCAAACACACTGTTAAATTTTCATCCAATGTACTTTGGTTATTCTTACTTTTTCAACGTGTCCACAGGACAAAATTGCATCCCGCAATGAAGGAAGCTCCATTGGAACTAAGTCGAGAGTAGCACAGAGAAGAGCCGAGGCAGAAATTAATGACGGTTTGTACTCCAAAAGCTTCATTTCTGTAAATGGATGAATTAATCAGTCGAGCGTGGTGTTTTTTTTTTCTGATAGTAATAATGTATTAATTATTGAGATGGATTAATTCTATTAATATTACCGTAATGGGTGTCAAAGATGATATCGGAGGCTCGAAACTTGAGAGGTTGAGTCAATGAAGAATCTTGGATTTTGAAGAGAGAAATGAAAAAATTGAGAAACGAAAAAGGGGTAATGGATCTCATTCGCCAGCCGAGAGTGGTAAGGATAAGCGCTTCCATTCGATGAACCCATCGTGGATGAAATGCAAAGCCTTCTTCCCTCTGTTTCATTCAATTTGTGTCAATAATATGTTGGCATTTCAATCATCTGCTCATTCATAAACAAGTCCAGTGATAAATTTGAACTGATCAGTTTTATGATTCCTAGTTTTGTATAACAGTATATATATATATGTATATAGTAAGTACCTGTACATGTGTTCTAATCTAATTGTGTGTGCGTGAGTTTCTTCCGTTTCGGAAAAAAAAAAAAAAAGTACCTGTACATGGGAGAGCGAAATTGATAAATCAGTGTTCCTCATCTTTGCCGCAAGTGAAAGGCTACTTATTGCTAAAATTCCAACAATCCACCTCTTTTTTTCCTGCAGTGGCATCTGACATTATGTTTTACTGTCTTGGTTCTGTAATTAATTAAGACACAATTAAACATGCATGTACATGCACTTGATTTTATATTCTAATTTATTAATAAAATAAAATCTTGAATTTATTAATAATAGCTTTAATCGATTTTGATTGTTCTTTACAGAGTCACTTCCCATAATCAGGTTTTTGCAGACTACACAACAAACAAGGACAGACAACATCTACCAATAAATTGCGTAAGAGCCCAGAGGTCCGGACCAGTGATAGATAGCATTCATATTAGTTAATGCCAGGGATAGAGTATGATCCAGTTCCACCTCCCACATCCATTACAAAAATGAATTTAAAAAAAGAAAAGGTATAGAAATATTACCCGGATGTTTGTTTTGCTGATGAAGCGATCCATGTAATTAACAGCTAGGTAAGTTGTGAAGGGATTAAGCTTGTGACAATGCTTCGCCTGAAATGTTCATGATTCAAGTTCTTTTTGTTTTTTTAAAAAATAATTATCATAAAGAAACCGAATGAACCATTTGGGATTGGAGTAATTTTATCCAGACAAATGGAAGTAGTAAAAGTTTACGTGGGAGATGAGAGAGAACGCTTCGCGGCGGACGGAGAAGACATGGTGGTCGTCGGAGCTGTTGAAGGGGAGGAAGATGGACTGCGAGGGCATGTGGTCTATTTCTT